AATCTGTCTAAAAAATTAGGTAGTTTTTTCAACAAGATAAGGTTTTTATCCCTTATTATTTAAATTTCATGCCAAAATGATACAAACTCCAGACTTCGTAAAAACAATATGATGTAATCTCGACAAAAATGTGCGTTTATTTGGTATATTGTTGTAAATATATTTATAAAGGAATGTTAGTGTCCTTGTGAGGTTCCTTCTGAGTGGCCAGCAAATTAAAAACTGTAAACCTTTAACAAAAAAGCTCAAATTTGTTACTAAGTCACTAGAAATAAACGCGCATCACTAAAGCCCCTTCAAGCACGCTGCTGTTTAAATTCAGTATTAATAGTTTTCTGTTCACTAATGTCAAATTTGCAACACTTTACCGCTAAGTGATAATTCCACATCAGCCGAAAGGTTTTTACATTAACGCTGCAAAAATCTGCAGGGATTATAAAATGTGTCATGGCGACTTACATATTTTTTGTTAATATTACTTGCAGCTATTTTCTTTACAATGGAAGTTCAAGTACAACAGTGTTGCACGTGTGAAAACAGATTCTCTGAGTTATGTAACAATGATTCTCAGTCCCTTCACTGTTTGTTTAAAGAGTCAGTCAACAGAATTATGATCAATATTTCAGCTATTTATCGATTTTAATCGTCTGTTTTTAAAAGAGGCTTCGACAGCTTTAAGCTTCAGAGAGTTTTTCAGTCTTAGTGTGTGTCTGTCAGCGTTGTTAAGAAGATACCAGGAAACAGACTGAGGTTTTCCTTCATCACTCCAGGACAAAAGAACCACACCCGATAAGTGAAATTCATTGTAAGGGGGGAAAAAAGGTGTCAAAAGCAACGATTAAAAGRAGTCTTAATACTAATAAGGTGAATTACACAGCGGGGAAAGTCTGCCCCTAATCCTCGTGAAGCCTGTTTAAATTCAGCMGGGATGAGGACAGAGTGCTGGTAATGCAGGAATGTCAAGGGTAGATGGAGCGATTAGACAGAGCACAAGAGGGGACTTTGTGTAAACAGGAGAACTGAGGTAAAAACCAGCCTGGAGGCACAGGGAGGCCAACACCTGGGCTCTGACAGTCCCCTACACAAACACACAATGTCCTTCACGGTGGCTTTTAATACCAAACTCACAACAACAGCAATCATGTTTTCATCCTATGACTCAGAAACTAAATCAGCTGTCCTTAAAGTCTGCTGGCTAGAACAGGGCTCAGAAACCTGGGTGTATTTGTTTATGTAAAGTGTCTCAGATGGGAATAAATGTCTGCAGAAAAGCAGTCTGCAATTTCCCCCACATACATCAATGACTCACCTACAATCTTTCATCAGCCACTCCAGGCAAAGAAGATCACAGAACGTCRTGTGTCGGCTGCTGTGGGTGCTTGATAAGGCTGCAAGCCTTATTTACAAATCTGCACATAAAACAATGTAAAGCAGTCTATTAGGACACATGCAAAACATTTTAAAATTTACACAGCCATCTATAGAATCAACATAAATATGTGATATTATAATAGTCCAGTGTTGTATAAAGTACCTCAAAGTGATACTTGAGTAAAAGTACAAGTATCTTTTCATAAAAATACTTTGGTAAAAGTTAAAGTCTTCTCTAAACATATTACTTGAGTAAAAGTCTTAAAGTACCTGATATGTTTTGTACTTAAGTATCAAAAGTAAATTTCTGACACAAAATCTACTTA